CAGGACTTTTTTATGTAACAGAGTATTCCTACACTCTGGGTACTTCTACTTTTACTCAAGTACAAGATCTGAGTACTTCTACTTTTACTCAAGTACAAGATCTGAGTACTTCTACTTTTACTCAAGTACAAGATCTGAGTACTTCTACTTTTACTCAAGTACAGGGTCTGAGTACTTCCTCCTCCTCTGATTATAATCCAGTGTTTGGGTATAAACGAGGACCCTAACCCCTGAATGAATCCATGTCGCCCCTCCCTCTCTCCCACAGTGTAATGGATATCAGTTTTTTGGGTACACGTGGATTTAAATCGTCCTAAACGTTCCCCTTTCTCCACTCAGGCCTTGTGTAAAGGAAGAACAGTTTTGGGGGTATCAATGAGGACCCTAACCCCTAAATGAGTCCTTGTCTTGGTGCAAACGGGGACCCCTTCCTCCCGCCCACAGTGTGTAATGGAAGAACAGTGTTTGGGAATATGAGGAGTACAATCCCTCCTAAATGAATCCTTGTCTTGGTGCTAAACCTCAATCCTTGTTGCTGCGTAACTCTATCCCCAAAGACCCCAACACCCCCCCTCAGACGTCGGTGAGCTTCCCTGTGTAGGCCTTCCTCGGGCTGCAGTTGGTGTGTTTCAGAGACTCCTCGTCCTCCTCGCTGCTCTCCAGGAACTCGTCCTTGTTGTCACTGTTGATCTCAAACTGCTGTCCACAGGTCACGTGTTTGTACTGGAAGTGCTCCTCGTGGTCCGTCTCGCGGTGGTAGAAGTAGTTGAAGTTGGACACGATGACAGGAACGGGCAGAGCGATGGTTAGAACCCCGGCGATGGCGCACAGCGAACCCACGATCTTTCCTCCGATGGTCACCGGACACATGTCTCCGTATCCCACCGTCGTCATGGAGACCACGGCCCACCAGAAGGCGTCCGGGATGCTGGAGAACCCTGAATCTGGGTCGTCTGTTTCTGCAAAATACACGGCGCTGGAGAAGAGGATGACTCCGATGAAGAGGAAGAAGATGAGAAGGCCCAGCTCCCTCATGCTGGCCTGGAGGAGAAACAAGTGTTCGGATCACAAAGTCCAACAGGGGGAGAGGACACAAACACTTCACTGTCTTTGTACAACAATATGTAACGAGGTTTAGGATCGCAGCCTTTCACAGTGAACAGTGACGGGACAACAGACGGAAACAATCATTGTGGGGGGGGGGCAGGGTATACAGAACATTTCAAAGCTCTTTGTTCAAGTGTTCATGAGTTAGGTAAATAAAAGACTCTTGCACTTGCTCCTGTATCTGCTACCAGGAGGTTGAACTAACTCATAGCCTCTTTCTACAAACCTGATATCTCAGGGTCACACTGACATGCCCCTAATGTCCTCTCTCAGCTAGTTTGTTGTTGTTGTTGTTGTTGTTGTTGTTGTTGTTGTTGTTGTTGTGTAACATTGCCCAATACCTTAGACATCTGCTAATGCTAATACACTGATAGTTATTTTGCTCTCTGAGGGTGTCGTCCAGTTCCGTGTTTTTGACCTGTTTTGAGCGGCGGCCCAGCCTCAACCAAGAGATGCCTCAATGACTGATTGTAGTCTAACACAACCTGTTGATGTGTGATGACTAGTCTCTCAATCTGGATCTGAGTTCAGCTGCTTTACCGGGGAGATCTCACACACCTTTGAAGGTGTTTTGATCATTTGAGGGTGTTTAGTTTGGAAAGTAAATTTAAAAAAGGATAACTTTCTCTGTATTTCCTGGAGCTCACGTCCCTCTTCTTTTCCACCACCACTAAAACCAGGCTCTACATCAGACTGAGGATTGTGTGCAGGATCCGGTTCAGTCTGCATATTTCCTTTTCAATTATTCATCCATCGCTGTTTCTTTTGTCACCACAACCTCTACAGGCTTTAATTAACAAGGTGAGCGCCCTCCCTACTGCCCCCACTGGCCTGGAAGAGTATTTCATTACTTATCCAGACACAGGCTCTACAGCGACTAAATCATATCTTTTGGACGGATTAAGTTAAGAAATTGGACAATCGTCTCGGCACACTGGTTACAAACACTTCACAAAAGTAGTATGGTATCCTATGTGTGTAGTACTCCACCTGCAGGGTCTTCCCGAGGATCTGCAGCCCCTTGGAGTGTCGGGACAGCTTGAAGATCCTGAAGACCCTGACCAGGCGGATGACCCTCAGGATAGCGAGGCTCATGGCCTGCTGCCCGTTCCCCTGGTGCTCCGCCAGCTCCAGACCCAGCGTGATGAAGTACGGTATGATGGCCACGATGTCGATGGTGTTCATGATGTTCCTGAAGAACGCCGCCTTGCTCGGGCTCGCCAGGAATCGAACCAGCAGCTCGAAGGAGAACCAGATGATGCAGAGCGTTTCCACGATGAAGAACGGGTCGGTGAAGGGGTTCGGCTTCTTCACTCGAGTGGAGGTGCCGTTCACCTGAGGGCAGAGGGGGGGAAGGGGACATTTCAAAGACTCTTTACTTTGACTTGAGTCGAGAAGTTTAGTCAGTACTTCTACTTTCACCAGAGTACTTTTAAACACGAGTATCTGTACTTCTACTGGAGTACAGGATGTGCTTTCCCCTCTCTACCTGCTGGAACAGCTGCTGAGAATCCTCACGAAACTCGGGCAGCGTCTCCAGGCAGAAGATGACGATGGAGATGAGGATGACGAGCACAGAGACGATGGCGATGCCTCGCGCCGGACCCGAGCTCTCCGGGTACTCGAACAGGAGCCACACCTGGGGAAGAAAGAAAGGTGAGTTTTACTGCAACCAGGAAGTAAAAAGAAGAAAGGAAGTGGCTACGAATAAACATCATAAAAGTACCCGTTCATTCATAGTTCCACTTACTGATATACACCTGCAGGAGAGGACTCTTTAAAGTAGGGACACTACATACTGATATACACCTGAACATCAGCAGAGAGGACTCTTTAAAGTAGAGACACTACATACTGATATACACCTGAACATCAGCAGGAGAGAACTCTTTAAAGTAGAGACACTACATACTGATATACACCTGAACATCAGCAGGAGAGGACTCTTTAAAGTAGAGACACTACATACTGATATACACCTGAACATCAGCAGGAGAGGACTCTTTAAAGTAGAGACACTACATACTGACCTGAACATCAGCAGGAGAGGACTCTTTAAAGTAGAGACACTACATACTGATATACACCTGAACATCAGCAGAGAGGACTCTTTAAAGTAGAGACACTACATACTGATATACACCTGAACATCAGCAGGAGAGGACTCTNGGCATCCACGCAGTCACCTACTTTGTAATGTTCGATACCTCCCTGTAAGCGTCACGACATCGGCCTCTCACCCACATTCAGTACTCGTATGTGAGGTTGTGGGTGAGAGGCCGATGTCGTGACGCTTACAGGGAGGTATCGAACATTACAAAGTAGGTGACTGCGTGGATGCCTGTTCAAAACATTGCAAACTTCAATAAATCATTTAAATTATATATTTGTGTCCGACTTTCATTTGTTCATCGTTCTTAATGTGATGTATAGTAGCTTTGGTAGTTGTCCATACCTTCAGACAGCCTAAAAGTAAAACACAAGTTGTTTATTCACAGCCCGAACGCTCATCGAGATGACTGGATCATCTATGACAACTTGTGATCAGCTCCGATGAAATTGTGATATCACTTCTGTAGCTATTCTCCAGGGAGCACGTTTATTTTATGAAATACCTGTATCCCTCTCATCACAACAAGACTCTACACTGTGCAGGAAAAACAATTACATACATGAGAATAACCTTGATGTATGGGAATGAAACACACAAACTATCTTCCGTGGCTACACTGATATGTCACAGTAACGGTAAACCACAGATATCCACGATATCGACCTCTCCCCCACAACCTCACATACGAGTACTGAATGTGCATCAAAGTGATCTTAGGAAGGCAGATATAGCAAAAGATGAACGTAAACGACAAACGAGGCGATCGACATGTTTATTTCCTGGTCAGTCAACAATGGGTCCTCAATGTACACGCCCCGGATTCCTATGACGAAAATAATAGAATGTCGCCAGTTGTCATGACTCAGTTTATACTGCAACACAACACAACAATACATTTGAAAAAGTCACACTTGACTCTACGTTGCTGATTTGTTATCAAGTCTGTAAATAATGTTTTTTGTGACATAGTTCTACAGTATAACAGAGTAATAATAATGTATTAAAAACCCAGCAGAGCCTGGTTTTAACCAACACTCACCCGGTTGCTCGTGCTCTGTTGAAGTGTAAAATGGAGTCTGGCTTCATCACTTTTACTTCCCTGTCTGCAGCTCCTCCCTCTGTTTATCAGCAGAGGAGAAGTACACAGATCTTGAGTAAAAGGAGAAGTACTCAGATCTTGAGTAAAAGGAGAATAACTCAGTTATTGAGTAAAAGGAGAAGTACTCAGGTCTTGTATTTGACTACAAGTAGAAGTAGTCAGGTCTTGTTCTTGAGTAGAAGTCAGGTTTTGTACTTGAGTAAAAGTAGAAGTACTCATGTATTCTACTTGAGTAAAAGGAGAAGTACTCATGTTCTTGAGTAAAAGTAGAAGTACTCAGATCTTGTACTTGAGTAAAAGTAGAAGTACTCAGATCTTGTACTTGAGTAAAAGTAGAAGTACCAGAGTGTAGGAATACTCTGTTACAGTAAAAAAGTCCTGCATTCAAAATGTTCCTTAAGTAAAAGTAGAAAAGTATTCTCATCAAAATATAGTGAAAGTCTCAAAAGTAAAAGTAGTCGTTGTGCCGATTGGCCCATGTCAGAATAATAGATATGGTATGTTTTATAATGATTGATCATTAAAGTTTAGTAGAGTAGAAGTACAAATTAGTACAACATTGAAATACTCAAGTAAAGTACCTTCAAAGTGTACTTGAGTAAATTTACTTAGTTACTTTCCACCTCTGATTATAATCCACTTTGATCTAAAGACGGTCTTCCTTTGCGCGGCCTGATGGACAGCCAAGCACTTTATTAATGTTCTTTTTAATGTTTATCTTAGTAAAGGAGTAATTTATTGCCATAATGATTCAGGTTTAAAGTTTACATTTGCTTATTTGTATATTATTTGAAGGAGGAGGGACACAACACAGGACCGATTTCATCTAAATACACAAAAAAAGCAGTTCTCTTTCACCCAAACGAGCAGCGCCACCAAGTGGATGAAATGCAGCGCTGCGTCTCCAAATGAAATGGAAGCAGTTTCTATAGCAACCTTCAGACTTTCTGTATTGTCTGACACGGGAGTGAAGGACGAGCCACGGAAACCACCATGTTGTGCAAAAAGCCTCCATGTTGTCTGATCCAGAGCCTCCTTTCAACATTTAGCACTAAAAAAGATACAATTCAGCACATTTCCTGCAAGACACGTCCTGCAGGGGACGTCATCTAAACAACACATTATGCTCTGATTAGGATATTTTAGGGTTAAGATTCACAAAAAATAACCAGAAATGTCCATCACAAGTTCTCAGAGACACTACTGAGCTTATATTTTTATATATAACAAGGGATAGGAAGTAATAAAACAGAAAGGAAATTGTCACATTCAATAGTTTGACTGAAAAATATGACATTCGGGATGTTTTAGAGCCCGACTGATGCTGATTTTGGGATGGATTTTCCCAATATGGACACCAAGATAATAATGTATACCTTAAGCTGGACACTTGAGCGTCAACGAGCAGTTTTCTTGATAGTTTGTATGGAAAAGCAAACATTTAATTAACAAAACAGCCAACAAACTAATTAAAAAAAGACTTGAAAGTGCATTGTATGGAAGGTAAAAGGTGCCATAATGTGAATCTTTGGCATTAACGTTATTTTATTTGAAAAAAATTACAAATTCATTGCCACCTGTCACCCTTAGTAAATTTTAGTAGTTGTTTAAAATCTATTGATATTGAATACTTGCCACTATTTTAAGCATCTTAGGTAAGTCTAAAAAAACTTCCAATTAGGTTATGATCTTCCAGTCACATGACCCAAGAGATAAACCTTATTATTATTGAAAAAGGGTTTCAAAAGTCAACATTTCAACGCCATAAACGCAGATTGAAAAGTCAACACACTGAATCGCCTGCTGTGTTTTCCACAAAAACCTCCGTCATTAAAGCACCTTAGTTTCTGGACTCAGTCAACAACACCTGATGGAAGAAAGGGGAATTTCTTTTGGGAAGAAACTGAAGATTTAAAGAGTTTCCTGGAGACGTTGGATTATTACCTGATGGATGGAGTTTAATCATCGACGGACAGACAATGGACGACCAACATCTGGACGTCTCGTCACAAAGAGAGGTGAGTTAAACCAGAATACCTTTAAGTTTATCCTGTGTTGGTTTGCAGGGCTCGACAGTAACGGTTGCCAGGTTGCCATTGGCAACCATTCAGAAAAAATGTCAACCACTTCTTGACCTTTGGTTGCCATCAGTGGCAACCAGTCTTTAACATAGAGAAATAAGGACAGCAAACAGCAAAATGTGTTCCCCAAAAGAGATAAATGTTATTTATTTGTTGTATTGAGAGTGATATTTAATTCTTGTTGTGACCAGGCGGAACCTGATACTGAAGTTTCACGTGCATTGGTGTGATTACGGAGCCAGAAAGCCATGCACGTTTACTCGCGTGCGCGGAGCGCCCGTGTGTTTGTTTTACAAAAAATGGCAAAGCAAATGAAGTTGTTTGACTGTGGGGTAAAACGTTTGGCTAACCCGTCAACATCTCAAACGAATGTTCAAAGTGATTCAACTGATAAAGCGCAAGGGGAACCCGAACGAAAAGCAAACAGGATATGTGTAAAGTCTGCTCCGTTGTGTATTCACTTCCGGTAAAAGTTCCTTCAAAATAAGAGTCCCGATCTTATTACTACCAAAATAAAACAACACTTTACCAGAGGAAAATATTGGCATAAAAATATTAACACTTCTATAAAAAGGTATTTTAAATATAGTTAGACATATTAAAGGTAATTTAAAGCATTAAAAAATAATATCTAATTCTTAAATGTGAATGGTTTTCATTTATTTAACATTATAATTGTATTAGTCTGGCCAATCCAAGACTTCAATGCTGAAGGGCCAGTGGATCTATGGTGGGGGTCAGCACAAAGGTCAAGAGAACCCACATTTGAAAGGAAGACAACGGATGACTAAGAAACTAGTGATCTGTGAAGAACAGAACAGCAGCTGCACTACTGGTGTTTAGTATACCAGCAATTCTGGGTGGACAAGTTTCCTACCACTCAGGTTTCAACTAATTGTGTTAATTACTGATTGTAAAGCATTTGAACATTCTTTTGTGTCACATGTTCATTATTAAGTTGATGTATAACTGTATAGTATCTTAATTATTTAAAATATAAGGTGACTAAAAATGGCAACCGTATTTTCAGTTTTGGCAACCAAAAGCTGATGCCTGGTTGCCTGGCAACCACTTTTAAAAGTTAGCGTTGAGCCCTGGTTTGTCACAAGAACTGATGATTTAATGCAAATTTAAAGACAAAATCCTGGAAAATGTGTTGTTTACGAAAATAAAGTCAAGACTGGGATGCAATGTTGACAGAGGAGGAAGTTAATTTACTAAAGTGTTCAGATCTATTTTGTCATACTTGTAACTTTACTCCATGTTACGCTGCTTTTATCCTTCTACTGCACTACACTTCAGCTGCAATAACTCTCATAGTCCGGTTTTAACATATACTTATAAATACATCGTAT